AGCAAAGAGTTGGAGACAACCCAAGTTCCCACCAACAAATGCATGGATAGAGAAACTGTGGTATATTCACACAGTGGAATACTATGCTGCATTGAAAAATAAGCAACTCCTGAAATATTCTACAAAATGGGTGACCCTGGAGAACATTATGCTGAGTGAAATATCTCAGTCACAAAAGGACAAACACTGAATAATGGCACTGTTGTAAAGTGGGACTGACATTAGGGTTGGGGGAGAAATATGAAAAGAAGGGATAAATAATGTATACTGCATTGAAACAGATGACAGAAAGAACTGTTTAAAAGGAATATATGATTAGGTATTATTTTCATGAAAAGAGTCCAGAATGAGAGCTTCATAGTGGAGTGGCCTGGGGTGGGAGGGAAGATTGTATAACAATGAAATAATTTTTTTTAATTTTTTTTTTTACTTTTCAAAGAGAAAAGTGAACTGGAGGGGAGGGGTGGGCAGGAAGGAAGAGGTGCAACAATGAATGAATGGAAACCCAAGGTACCTATAAACTTTCATTAAAATTTCAATTAGACAAATGATAGGAGGTGAGGAAGGCTAACTTTTAGGAACATGGCTAGGCATGTGGAAAGACTGGACTGATAAGAGAAACTAAGTTTATGGGCAAGGGTGCTGAATGCAATGACTGATCTCTGGAGTAGGGTTCCAGGGCCTGGAATGGGACCAGAGGTTGGCTGGAAAAATAGGAGAGAACATGGATTCTCTGATCACGGGGTCCAGGTACCGCCGTGGAGAGTTGAACTGGTCTGTGTCAGAGACTGTGTGGCTCAGGTCCATCATTTCAACCCTCCTATCAGATCCCATGGGCATCTCCAATATCCACAGAAGCAACATTCAAGCAATCAATCAATGTATTTCATTGAGCTACAGTGCTACCAAGAACAGTGTTAAAGAGCAAAAATATCACTTTGAGGACTAAGGTGCACCTACCCAAAATTGTGGTATTTTCAGTTGCTTTAAAAGCATGTGAAATTTGGCCAGTGAAGAAGCAGGCTGGTGCCTTTGAATTGTAGTACTGGTGAAGAATACAGAATATACCATAGACTGCCAAAAGAACAAATCTGTCTTGGATGAAGTGTAGCCAGAATGCTCCTTAGAAACAAAGATGGGGAGACTTCATCTTATATACTTTGGGCATGTAATCAGCAGGAGTCAGACCCTGGAGAAAGGTATTGTCCTTGGTAGAGGGGTCAGAGAGAGGAAGATCCTCAATGAGATGGATTAACGGAGTGGCTTAAGCAGAACAAAGACTGTGAGGGTGGTACAGGTTAGGATGGTGTATATAGGGACATCATGAGTCAGAGCTGACTAGATGGCATCTATGGTGTCGTCCACATGGAAGCAAGATGAACAGTCTGCTTTGTGAGTTACTGCTTCTGAAAACCCCCGGAGGGTCAGCTATGAGCTGGTTTCTACTCCACGGCAAACAACAACAGCATGAGTCAGAGCTGATGGCGTTAACGCTTAAACAACAAACAGACCTACCTACCCTGACTCACAGACTATCCTCAGTGTGTCCTACTTAAGGACAGCCACCCCTACTCCCCACACACCTGCCCAGCATGGTAAATATTAAGTCCTTCCCCACAAGATGACGATAGGAATTCAATAGGCCCCCATCTCCTGTTGCCGCCCCTGAGTCCAGGAACTTTCATTGTGCACATCCCAGTTTGATCTCTCAGGTCTTACTTTTCCTCATGCTCTCTCAGGTGAGACATACAGGAGGCACACGCCAGTTCAGTACAATTGGCATGTCAAGTGCAGGGTAGGTGGCATGCCAGGGACCCTGGGCAGGAAGAGGGGGAAGGTCATCCCAATTTCCTCTCTCTGGCTGTGTCCAGACTCTCCCCTACATGGGGTTAAAGTGTCACCTAAGGGTAATGACACACTTTTCAACTTTTGAAGCACCGTCTCACATACTTTGGGCACGTGGCCAGAAGGGACCAGTCCTTTGGAGACGGACATCATGCTTGGAAGGGTGGAGGGACAGCGCAGAAGGGGAAGACCCAGATGAGATGGATTGACTGAGTGACTGCAGAAATGGGATTAGGTCTGTAGGAGACAGTGAGATTGGCTCAGGCCAGGGCTGCGTCCAGAGCTGTTGTGTAGAGTTGCAAGCAACTCGACCACACAAAACAACAACAAAGGAAATGAATGGGATGTCCTCACAATCCGTCCTGCACCGCCTCAAGTTTGCAGAAAACTGGCACCTAACTGTGCCAAGGTTTGCTATGGGCACTGTCCCTGCACTACCTCACCTGGCCTTCAGGTAACTTTGGCGTGAGGATCTGTAGGCAGGTAAGGAAAACGTGGTCTGGAGCGGGGAGAAGGGCGTGGCCAGCCCCCTGCCCCACAAAGCAAGGCTCCAGGATGAAGGTGCAGGTTCTTGCAAGGTGGAGGGGTGTGTGTGCAGAAAAAAAGCTTGAGGATGACTACCTCGTCCATAGAGTCTGCAGTGAGCACGTGGCAACTTCTGTGCGTCTCCCCGGCGTCCAGGAAGCAGGTCCCGTCTGGCTGGGCGCGGGGCGTGGCCCCCAGGCGGGGAGGGGCGTCCACTCGCTTCCCCCCAACACCCCCCCCCAACCTCTCCGGGCCTCCGGGGCGGGGGTTCCGGGAAGCGTCCCGGGCGGGCGGGGCGAGGCCGAGAATGATCGCGAGTGTTGCTTGAGGCTCCGGTGGCACCGCGATCCCGATCCGTCCGTCTGTCTGCCTGCCCGCCTGGACGTGCCGCATCGACCCCGGGCTCCTAGGCTCCGCTGCTGCTCCCGCTCCCGCCGCCTCTTGGTGGTGAGCATGTGGGGGAGGGGGTGCCCTGGGCAGGTGGGGGTGGCGGTGTGGGGTGCCTAGGCAGCGCCAGCCCTACCCCTCCCACTCCTGATAACACCGAGGGGTCAGCGAACTCCCACGACCCACCTCTCCTCAACCCCATCCTCCCTTTTGGTCCCGGTCACTGCCCAGACCTCAGGAGTCGCCACCTTTGTTCTGTCCTGGGATGGTGGGGAGGGGTTCGCCCTCAGAACTTGGGCTTCTGCTCGGCTCACATGGGCGGGGGGCGGGCCTTCCACTCTCTCCCAGCCTCGGTTTGCGGCCGGAAGCCCCCCACCCCTCCACCTTCCTGGCCCTTGTGCGCATGGAGACGTTGAACATTGAGGCTGGAGTCCCATCTTGGAGGATTCCCGACTGTAGTCATTGGCTAGAGCCCGATGACTCACAGATGGGGAGTGGACTAGAGGTCTTCCAGGGATAGGGATTGGAACAGCCCTCCTTCTCAGTCATGTCAACAGGAAGACTCCACTGGGGTCGGGGACCATATTCCAGGGGGCTGGGATGAATCTGGAGAACCTGAGGGGTATAGGAGTGAGAATGGAAGTTTTGGACTCAATTAACTGATCCTTAGAGTGAGCCTTGGGTTGATGAGATCTGAAGTGGTTTGTCCCAAACAGCTGGGAATTAGAAGAGTTTAAGTTACCTGGGCTCTTGACCCAGACGGACTCATTGGTGCTGACTCCAACTCCAGCTCAATTCAGCTCACCTGTAATTTCTATCCTAGGACCCTGTTGGAAGTGGGTTGTTTGGGTCGTACTGATACCTGTTTGCTGGTGGTCAGATGGCAGATCTAGGCCTGCTGGTGGTCGCATCCTCTGCCCCACCATTTTACCCAGAGCCAGGATCTGCCCAGACATGCCAAGATTAAACCAACAGCCTGCTGCCTGCAGATGTCTGTTCCAAAGGAGAGCACTGGGTGTAGCTGCTTTTGGGCGGCCTGGGGTTCATGATGCACTGACCAGGCCACGTGCTGTGCCAGGATTCTGTCCAGAATGATGCTTCCACAACTCAAGGGTCACCATTAGGCCCCATGCCATATGTTCCCTGCTGGCCTCGGTGTTCCCCTGTGGGGTCTGCCAAGGCAGAGGCCCAGGAACTGTCCCCTGACTGCTGTGGGAACTGAATCGCAGCTAATGTGACTTAGTGGTGGGGAGTTTTGACTGTAATGTCTTCCTGTGAGATTTGTACCTTTAACCACTTTCTGCACTTGTCAGCTGCTTCCCCCCCACAACCCCTAGCATGGTCTTGTACACTGGTGCTCTGCCCGCGCCACAGTTTGTGAGGCGGTCTCTTGACCCCACCTCCAGGGCCACAAGCCTTGCAGTATTTCTGGAGGTTGGACTGCTATCTGCAGATGGTGCTTCTGCTTTGGAACCCTGGCCGCTGAGGACACTGGTATTTACTTCCTGGCCACCAGCTTCTGGCCTCACCTGGGATTAAGTTCTTTTTGTATGGTCTTGGAGATTGTGTGTGCATTGATCAGTGGGCATGACTGGCTGGCAGTGAGGGGGCTGTATATATGTGTGTTGAGGAGGATTCCTGTAAGAGTCGAGTCCTGAAGTTGTTGTGTCCAGCAGGGGCCAGGGATGTTGTGGCTGGATGATGGACAGGCCCTGTACCTGGGCCCCAGCAGGTGGTTGGAAATGTTACTCTTGAGTCTTGTGCTGCTGGGCTCAGGCATCTTCTGTAGACTTGAGGGTGGGGGAGGGGAAACAGGCACAGATATGAGCAGAATGTGGCTGGATTGAAAAACTGGTGTGACATTTAAACCCTTTGCATTCCATACCCTGCCTTGTGGGCATCATCAGGGAAGATGAAATGTGAATTTAAGGAGTTCACTCTCCCAGCAGAGAGCTAGTGGACTTCTTGGGGGAGGAAAGGGAGCCCAGTTAGGGAGGCTCTGCTGTGGTCCGGGGAAGCGCAGGGCTGAACAGGATGGCTTCGAGACGGTCCACCATGCTGGTGTGAACTACTTGCTAGGGCATGGCTGAGACCACAGGTTAACAGGTGTGTTTCTCTGCTCCAGCCCGAGGTGAACTGTGTGCACACCGTTTTTTTTTCTCCTCCTGAATTCTGTTGTGGTACCTGTTACGGCCAGTTCTGACGTGCTGTAGAGATTTGTGTGGAAAGAGGAAGAGTGTGCCATGCCTGAGGACAGGTGAGTGTGCTGGTGGGCCACAGGTGGGCACCCTGAGCATGTCCGCGGTAGGAGGGCACCAGAAAGAGAAATAGTTTTGCCCCTCGGTAATCTCAGTTCTCTAAAGTTGATAACCTCAGCATTGGACCAGAGGGGAACTTCTCTGCTGGGTTCTCTGTCCCCAGCGCTATTAACCCTTTGCCCCTGTCTCTCTCAGTCCCAGGGGCTCACCCCAGTGTGTACTTATACCTGCCTGTCAGCCTGTCCTCAGGGTAGATGTCTTGGTGAGAGTATACCCCACAATATATGTGTGCACCCAAGCTTCCTGCGAGTGGTGTGTGTTTGTACCAGTTTTGTGGGCCTTGGAGGGCACAGTGCATGGGCATATGCCCCAGATTGAGCTGGACCTGTGTCCTCTCTGTATGCCCCATGCATTTGCACTGTGGCTTCGGGAAGTTGGCTGTTTCATGGGCTGGAACTAAGATCCCAGGTCCCTGTGGGTGACTCACTTTGCCACGCTCCGTGTTTCTTCTGTGTTAACCCTCCGCTGGAGAGGGTTGAGGTGGCCATACTCCTCATGGCACCTGGTCATTATTAGTCTGAACAAGACTACTATCCCTTTCGTCCTAGGTATTTACTTGAATCTCCTGTGTCCACGCACTTTCTGCTCTCGCCCCTTAAATAATCTCCTTCACAACTCAGTGCTGTTGAGTTGACTCATAGCTGATCCCTAGTGAGTTTTTGGCGACTGTACATTGCATGGGAGGAGATTGCTCATCTTTCTCCTGCTGAGCTGCTTCATAGATTCAAACCACCAAAGAGGGGTTAACTTTGGTTTTGCAGCACAACTCCCTACGGGCTCTGCCACCTGAGTTCCCTCATAAGTATATTAATACATTAGAGATGTATCTTCTGGATTGACTGTGTCTGTCCTGTTTCTGGGGTACATTTTAAGGTACAGTGAACCCCTTTACTGTGTGTGCTCCTTGTAGTGATTGTAACGCCCTACCAAATCATACTTCTGGCCCACGCCCAGGATTGCTGTGTCATTCTGTATGGTGCGTGTAGAAACTGTTGCCACACATAAGTGCTAGGCACTTCTTTGGACACTTCCTCATTTTCACAGAATTCTGTGAAAAGTTCTTGAAAAAGTTCTTCACACAGAATCTGTGAAAAGTCCTGGGGGATTAGAATTATCAGGCCATAGAGATGTACCAGGGAGCCCGCTGGCACAGATGATTCAGTGCTTGGTGTGACAGCTCTCTCTCTCTCTTTTTTTTTTTTTTAATTTTTAT